AATAATTAAAAGGTTCTGTGTCAAGCTAGCTGTGATTTAATTTTAGCTTACTTTGTTTTTTATTGCAATTTATACTTTTGCTGAACAAACTGATATGTTAGTAGTTTTGGGTTATTGTGAAGGAAATTGTTGTGCTACTGTTCGAACATATGCTGAAAGATTTCCTAATCGAAGAACTCCAAATCACAAAACATTTGCTAATGCGGAGAGACGCCTTCGGGAAACAGGACGTTTTTTACCTGTAACATTAAATCGTGGATAATGTACGGCCGGAATTATTCAGCTGGAGGAACAAATTTTGGAAAGAGTCGAAGAAGTTCCTCAAGTAAATAAAAGGCGTTTAGTGGCAGAGGTTGGCTTTCATAAAGTTCCTTTAATGAAGTATTAAAAGACCAGTTATTACAGGTTACAGGTATTACAGGGTACAGGTAGGTATTACAGGTTATTAAAGGTCTAACAGGTGGATAGGTAGAGGAAATAATGCCCCTTTAAAATGGTCACCTCGATCCCCTGACCTAAACCCATGTAATTATTTCATTTGGGGAGCGTTGAAGACCACAGTTTAAAATAACTTTTCAGTAAATACAGAAAACGAATATGAGAAAGAATTCATGAAATTAATGTTATGGGAGGCAATGCACAATTATTGGATAATTTCTAATTTTCGAAGAATTAATGTTTGCGTTTAAGAACAAGAAAGTAACTTTGAGCATTTACTGTAATATTATGTTAATGTGATTACAAATATCAGTTTATTTAAAATGTTAATGTTGACTTTCTTACATTATTAGTTGATATTGTTTATTTAAAATATTAGTGTTGATTTTTATTTTATTGATTGATAATATTAATACCAAAAATGTGTAGTTATTTGTTTTAATGTGACGATTTTTCATTATTATTCCCTGCTTTGAGGCTGCAGTTATAAATTATTTTTTATAAATCGAAATTTTTGCCTATATTTAATATTTAAAAAATGCGAATTTTACTCGAAATCCATAAACGATATCGAAATTTTGTAAGTGAAAAAAATCCTCTAAAATAGTGCTTATTTTTAAAAATATAAATTCTGTCGTCATTGGCATACACACAAAAAAGTTACGAAATAGCCAGCGGCAAACAGGCACTAGAAATAGAACATCCTGTATATGTATTCTCTCCAAATTCTATATTTACCTTGCCCTTATATAAAAAAATAAGTGTACCGAATTTGAAGTTGCTAAGAAAATTAGTTTTTCAAATTTTTTGAAAAAAATAGATTATCTATTCTATATTTAGAAGGCTATATCTTAGTAGGCGTGCACTTTTGTATATAGGTAAGTTAGGCTAAATAGTCTTATTTTCATCCAAGGAACCTGTGGTCAAGCGTTGTCCATCCTTTTCAGGGACACCCTGTATAGAATATACTGGTCTAGCTCCTGGCCCATTTATTTGTGGCGCTGTGTAATTAATACTAACAGTAGACATGTTGATATCAATAAACATATTTTTCCTGGACTGGTTTTTGCTTGGTTGTTAACAAGAACGAATTAGTACACTGTGGAAAGAATTTCTAAATGATTCTACAGAATCATTACGGTTGTCAAGATCATCATCGGTATAAAATATCGTGTTACGGTCTTATTTTGCTTTAAACGACTTCGATTTAATATAACCTGGAGTACTCTGTGATGTCAGTGGGTTTAGTAATTTTGATTCGCGCAAGTTGGTAGCACTGTCAAGTTTGTTGCCGGCTCGACTGGAAGGTGATTCCAATATCGACCTTATCGACCGATGCACGATTTTGACACCGTCGACTGTCTGCTTTTGGCTGTGGTATTTTTGGAGATTATTCTAACCATCCATTGTGGGATTTTATATCACAGGCTGTAAAATTACTCTCGGAATATTTGGAAGTACCGTTACCGTGATATTGAGATGTTGCAGAGAGTTTTCGTTTGGATGTGAGAGACAGTTTTGAGCATCGTGTTTTGTGGTTATGTCATGAGAAATTACCTCGTGGAAACCTTGTGTGGAAATTAAAACCCATCTCGCATTGCTGTGAAGTCATTTATAGGAAGGAAACCCTTAGAAATAAGTTTTTTTTTACGGGAGAATTCCGTTTGGGAAACTATTCGTCTACGAGACACCGTGGGTTCGTCTGGCTGAGGTGCTTCTCCGCCCTCACGTCTCCGTCAGGCATCGTAGCATACCTACCTGGAGTTTAATCGTTCCCCACCAAGTTTCTCCTGCTTCGACATCGTGTACCACCATCATCTGCCGTTTACAGAGGTCTCCGCAGAGAGAGTGCCCCACTACGTACAGGCGAAACGATAAGCATATTCTTTTATTTAAATTAAACGTTTGATCTACCGTACCTCCTGTATATTGCTGTATTTTATTACTGTATGTATCACTGCGTTTTATAACTGCGTACTGTGTTTATCTGCATTTGAATAAGAGGTGACAGTCACATAACCTTGCCTATATGTAAACCATGTTGTAGTTACAATAGGGGTAAAAGTATTTATAGCTTGTAATTTCCTTTACGCTCGGACTGTACATTCTACTGGCAGGCCTTGGGCCTTAGCGTTAGCCAGTCATCTTGATCGTGTCATAATTCACCTATAGCGTTCTGTAACCTGTCTTGTTAAATGCAGTAAGATAAGAAAATCGTCCACAAGCAGGGACATTACATATTTCAACGTGTAAGCAGTGAATCGCTGTACTTTGCTACATTTTTATTAATGCAGTAATATAGTATTTTAGAGTAGATTACACGTGTTTTATTGCACGGAAGGAACTATTTTCGTCCGTACTAACTTTTCTGGTCTCAGCTCATATATTCAGTAATAGTAGTAGTAGTAGTTACACCTTTTTCTGGGCATTTGGCAGACTATCGCCTTAAACGCCCTGGGAATCAAGATCTAAGCTACTCTGTACAGTAATCTTAGTCGGGTAACGTTTGTACAGGGACGAGATCTTGCTGCCGTGCACTGTTGCCCAGAAATTTCCGGAGAGGGGTTTTCCACCGCTTCCACCATTCTCCCCCCTCTTCCTTTTTTTGACCATCACGGTAGCAATCGTTAGTGGATATTTAGATTATAGAAATATATTACATGGATATTAGAAGAAACACTTGAAACAATAAAAAAATATAATACACGCTTATATATTTTCATTTACTAGTATAATTGATTAACACAGAAATTAAGGGATATTAAAAAGATCCCTAAGGGATCGAAAGGGCCTGGGTCAATTGATGGTGATTTTGTAATTGCGGATAATCTCGTCATCATCGACGCCCGAGCATGTGCTAAACATGCCCAATGGGGTTCAAGTCGGGACTCATAGGTGGGTGGTTGAGTATTACCACATTGTTGGCGTAAAGAAACTTTCTCGTACGTTTTGCGATATGAAGATGAGCATTATCCTGCATGAGAATGAAATGATTCCTCATGCTTGTATGAATGGGACGTGTGGTTCAAGAATTTTGTTGCTGTACCTTTCGGCAGTCAATGATGAGAATGATTACCAACTGAGTTCTGGTATTAATGGATACGCCTGCCTATCCATAACTGAACCGTCATTAAAAGCCGTAATTGGCCGCGTAAAATTATTGGTATCACGTTCCTCATGACGACGCCAAATAAGAGATCATCTGTCGTTGCCATGGCGATTCCGTTATGGTATGGGCAAGCGTATCCATTAATAACAGAACAAAGTTAGTAATCATTCCCGGAACATTGACTGCCGAAAGGTACATCACTGAAATCTTTGAAGAACTCGTCCTGCCCATGCGTACAAGCATGAGGCATCGTTTCAATCTCATGCAAGATAATGCTCATCTTCGTACCGCCTATACACCTATGAGCCCCGACTTGAACCCCATTGGGCATGTTTAGGACATGCTCGGGCGTCGATGACGACGAGGTTATCCGCAATTATAAAATATCACCATTGACCCAGGCTCTTTTACAAACTTTGCAAGGAATTACGCAACGAGACATCCGGTGGTGCATTAATATGCGAGACCGCTTACAATCGGTGATCAGGAACAGAGGCGGCAATACCCGATACTAAATTGTGATCTGCAATGTCAAATCAACCAATTTTTTTCTTGTGAAGCTTGTAGATGTTAAAAAAAATTTGAAAAAAATAATTTTTGAGAAAATTTTTTTTAATTTTTTTTTAGGATCATAAACGTTTTTTGATGAGGAAAATATGGATTATTGTTAAAAAAACTCAATTTAACTTAACTTAAAAAAATGAATAAAAAGGCTAAAATTACTTATTACATTGATTTTCAGCAAAACGATAAATTTAAACACTCCGGGCACTAGAAAAAAATATCGCAGCGCTTTTAAATTATCGGGGTTTCTTTAGGACACTTTGGGGTTGAAAAGTTACAGTCGATATCCTTAGTTTATTCATTATTTGCAAAGTTATGCCAAGCTATTCAAATATCCCTAATTATGCAATTTTTTACCTTTTTTCTAACCAACATTTTGACTTTTATAAAAAACCCATAACTACGACTTGTAGAGAATACTTTGTAGTTTTGAAAATCCAGCTTGTATTTTCTGTACGACTATTATTTCCCGAGTAATTGTCAAAGTCAAAATGATTTTTTTGCTTTGATAGACTCGGCGACAAATAATCGTACAAGGCTCCGGAACCGCTCAAATTGAAGAGAATTAAATTATCTAAAAGAGATTTATGATGAAATTAGCAAAAAAAATCCATAGCGCCTTTTTAAAAAAAGCAAAAATATACACATTTTTTTTTCGGTTGATTTTCTTATGATTATACAAAAACTGCAGACGCCAAAAAATTTTAAACTGCAGATCTGAAAACTAGACACTTGAAGCTTCAAATTCCTTTTTTTATTCTCTCTACAACCATTTCCCTCCAAGTTCCAACTCTTTGAAAATCACCCAAAATTTAGGGATTTTCTTAATATCCCTTAATTTCTGTGCCTAGTGTATTTACAAAGTAAATATACGATATGATTTTCTTATTTTTTATTTATTTGCTGGTGTTTGGGTTACCGGCAACTACGTAGCTTTCGATGCCAACGTTGTTGTTACCCCTGATGATTCTGAAAAATCTGCCCTCTTCAAAACCGGTGCCCCAGGAGTTGGCGACTATCCAGTAAGGTATGTTGTCCTCACAACCCCATCCGATGATCTTTACAGCGTGGCCACCCACGAATCTGCCACTGGTGTGTTGGTAGATAATTGAAAATTGTGAAAATAATTAAATTTTCATTGATGACTTAATAAAGTGCAATTTATTGAGATTGCTAATGTAATTGTTCAGTCAGATCTGATACGTAATCAACTTTATTATGTTTTATTTTAGTACCTCTGATAAGTATTCCAGACGATAAAATAAGTCTGTTTTCTGTTGAATACTGATTTATTTCGAGATAAACACTGAATATCAAAAAACCAATCATGTTACTTTTAAAATAATTATATTCAATAGATATACGACAGTTTGGTTTGTCATTGAAAGTAGTATCGTTTTATAATTAAGATAACATACTAATTATTTTGTAAAATGTTTACTTTTAACAAAATTATATGCGCTTATCTCTATTAATGGCGTTCAATCTCATTTTTTGAAACTAGAAAAGTAATAAATATGTGTACAAATTATTTATATTTTTCGTAAACTTAATAGTTTTTAGTAATCATTACTAAATAATAACTTCAGAAATATTCTGCAACTCGTATATTTTAACAGTTGCAAGACATACCTGATCCGTAACTGTAAAAGTCTTCATAGTGACAGTCTATGTTGAGCGCTTACGGGACCGTTGATTACAATCTTGTGCTGGATCTGTTCCACGGTGTTGGTGACTTTGGAATGTGCGATACCATGGCGAATGTCATCTTCCCGGGTTTTGTTATAACTTGACACGCAACTCTCGTTGCACTGTGGTGTCTTACCACTGCTTGCGGCTGTATAGGGTCTGCAACCCTGTAAAGGAAAATAGTTTATAAACGAGGTTGCCGAATGTAGGAATGGAAATTTGTATACAGGGTGTGGCGTGTATAATCTATAAAAATTAAACTACAGCTTCCTACCGATATTTGTAATAGAAAAGTCTTATACGAAATAGTTCTATTTTTGCTTTTTTCCATAAATTAAAGTTCAATTACATATCAAAATATTTTCTTTGGAACGGTCCTGTCCGTGTGCTGTACGATGAGTTACGTGCTGTAGACCAGCCGCGTAAACAAATCGTCGTTGCAAAGACAGAAAGGTACCTACTTCTCAATTTTTGGGTAATTTTTCAATGCAAAAGTACAAGCTAAGAAAAATAAATATTTAAAAAAAACTGATATTTTCTTATTATAATAATTAATAGTAATTACTATCTTAAATGCATTGTTGTTACTGAAAGAGTTTGCAAACAAAACCACATCCATAAGCATCTATAGTTGCCAACTGCGTGCACTAAAAAAATTCCATTAAAATATGGAATAAAATAAAATAAAACTTAGCATTTCTAGAGAAAATGTTGAAATTGACCCCCATTAGCGCGGATACAAGCATGGCACCGACGCACCCAATTTTGGCGAATATTTTCCCAAATCCAGGTATTCCCCTAATTGTGTCAGCAGCTTCAAATATACGGTTTCGCAATCCTTCCACCGTAGCAATTGAAGTATTGTAAACCACTGACTTCAAGTGACTACAAAGTTAAAAGTCCATCGGAGTTAGATCGGGTGACCGAGGTGGCCACGGCACAGGACCCATCGCTGAGGAAACATTTCATTCAAAAGTGTCGTTACTTCTCGAGTACTGTGAGGAGGAGCCCCATCTTCAAGACAAAACATGCGTGCCCGAACTTGTAATGCCACATCGTCCTATAATTCAGGCAACCGGTTCTCCAAAAAGTCAGCATATGTTCGTCCATTTAGTCGTCCTTCAAACAAATAGAGGCCCATAAGTACATCGCCTATTATGCAAGCCCAAACATTTACCGAGAACCGATGTTGAAAATGAGTTTCCTTAATCACGTGAAGATTTTCATCGGCCCATATGTGCATATTATAAAAATTCACTTCATCACGGGTAAATGTCGCCTCATCTGTTACACAAACATAAGCAGGAAAGTCTACTTCATTGGCACATTGCCGTAAAAACCATTGCAAAAAAGCATTCGTTGGTCACAATCCGGGGGTAAAATCTGTTGAACTGGTTGCAGATGATAGGGATGCTACAACTGGCGCCTTAAGATGCGATATACGGTACGAGATGAGGTTCCTACTTGCTGTGCGTGTCGTCGAGTACTAATTGTGGGGTCTTCGTCAAGATCTTCCAACACTGCATCTTCAACATTAAGGTCCACTTGCTGACCACGTACTTCTCCTCGAGGAATAACACTTCCCATATCTCGCAACCGCTAAACGCACTGTAAGATTGTATTTGCACATGGGGGGACGTTGTGGCCATCGTTTCCGGCACAACCTAGTCGCCGCGAGCGCATTTTCTAGGGCTGCACCATACACTAACGTCGCGCCATATCGACACGTTCGGAAATAGTAAATGCATTGTTTTCTCGGTACATTATAAAACTAGTTTGTGCACAAACTAAAAAATTAAGCAAAGTAAGAAATAAGAATCTCGTTTTTAATGTAATCGGCACGCTATTCTTATTTTTTACTTCGTTATAAAATTTACATTGCCACTATCGTGGAATTATAAAATAAAAACTTTTGTCTGGAACCTTTCACTTTTTAACACTAATGGGTCGATTGACGATACTTAATATTTAATAATTAAGTGAATAATGAATTCAATATAAATACAAAATCAGTTGACGGCACAAATTTTTTGACAATGTAACCTAACCTTTTAGTATTACTAGTATTAGATTATACCGACTTAAATTATAAGATTGCATCTCGAGTCGTATAAAAACATTTCCAAAGTTTTTAATAAATAACACAGGGTCGGCCGTCATTTGCGTTAAATAAATGAACTTTAATTTAAAAGAAAAATCACGAAGATAGAACTTTTTCGTATAAGACTTTTCTATTACAAATATCATCAGGAAGCTGTAGTTTAATATTTATAGATTGTACAAACCACACTCTGTATATGCACTACAATGACTACGTTTTTCTTAGCAAACGAATCTATTTGGGCTAAAATCACTTATTTCTTCTATAATGTAGCAATTGAAGTTCAGAAGGCAATTCTAACTCTTGATCAAGTACGACGCATTAAAAAGTAAAAGAAAATTGATACTACTTATAGAAGATTTGAATTTCATAGAAAGATGCTCTCTTGGAAAAGTTTTAACGTTATTGGTTTCATGATACACAATCTGAGATTTGGATGGATATGCTTTCAAATATGATAAGAACAATAGTCCAGTCATTATAGACATGAAACAGCCTGTTTCGGAAAAAAATACTATTAGAAGTTTCTCTGCCGAATATTGTTCGGAAACGTGTTATAAACAAACTATCAAAAAATCGACTCGAGGCTAGTTAGGAAACTTTGTTTAACCAATGGTCAAAGTTATGGAAATGTGGTTTTTGACTCGCATAAAAAAACTATTATTCATAGCGAAAAAAAGTTTATACAAAAAAGGTAGTTATTAAATAAGCCTATAAAATGAAATAAGTCCGATTAAATTCCGATAATTTGTTTGAGCGCAAGAGCTCAAAAATGGTCGAAAATGGCCGTTTTTTTCAATTGCTAATAATTAATGCAATTTTTATCGCAGACAATTGTAATTCAGGATTTTTGAGGCTTTTTACACCCTTAATAAGAGGTAAATATTTCAACCCGAAAGCTTCAATGGTTTGGCGTTGGCGGAATTTGTTATCTAAGAAGATGCTATTTTCAATTCATTTTTCCCAAGCTCAAAGGCGTTGTATAGTTTCGATCATTAGTTGTTTTTGTACCTAAATAGTTATATTAACATATGCATTTACTGAGAATTTAATTTTTTAAATTTAATTTGTTTAAAAATAACTTTGAAAAAATATTAATATTTATAAAATTGTTAAGATAGGTATTTATTATAAAATGACATAGTAACCTCTATAGTTTAGTTAGTATTATCTTCGAATTTAAAAAAAATCGTTGTTCTAAGTTGATTAGAAGCTGAGATAATTTTTGTTTTATTTAATCGCAATGACCTTAATTATTAATATTAAGAGCCGAAATTTGGCGAGAGTATACATTAAGAGCTATATTTTCATGCCATACATTAACATTAAGGTGAATTCAACTATTTAATTGCAAAAAAGAATATAGCAGCGATGCGTTCTATTACTCGGTCTAGCGAACGCGTGGGGAGAGCGAGGCGGAGCACGCGCGCTACGCGGCTGGTAGCGCGCAGGGAAATGATCGGGCGGTTACAAATCGATGGAGCTGGAAAAATTAGCCATATCTCGCTTAATAATGGACCTATCGAGATGATTCTTTTTTAATTTGTGGTAGCGCGAAAATTCATGAGCATTGAAGCTATGGTATTAACATTATTTCAACCCGAGATTTAATTTTTTATTTAGCCTCGCTATTCCCACTCGTTCGCTAAACCGAGTAATAGAACGCATCGCCGCTATCTTCTTTTTTGCAATTAAATAGTTGAATTCACCTTAATGTTAATGTAGGACATGAAAATATAACTCTTAATGTATACTCCCTATAAATTTCGGCTCTTAATAACTAAAGACACTGCGATTAAATAAAAAAAAAGTCTCAACTTCTAATCAACTTAAAGCAACGATTTTTTTTTAAATTCGAAGAAAAATAGTATTAACTAAACTATAGACGTTAGTATTTCGTTTTATAATAATTACATATCTTAACAATTTAATAAATATTAACATATTTTCAGTCATTTTTGAACAAATTAAATTTGAAAAATTAAATTTTCAGTAAATGCATATATCAATACAACTATTTAGGTACAAAAACAACTAATGATCGAAACTCTACAACGCCTTTGAGAATGGGAAAAATCAATTGAAAATAGCATCTTCTTAGATAAACACATTCCGCCAACGCCAAACTAATGAAGCTTTCGGGTTGAAATATTTACCTCTTATTAAGGGTGTAAAAAGCCTCAAAAATCCTGAACTACAATTGTAAGATTGTAATTCGGGCTGAAATTTTTACTACTTATTAAGGGTGCAAAAAGTCCTGAATTGTAAGTATCTGCGATGAAAATTGCATTAATTATTAGCAATTGAAGAAAACGGCCATTTTCGACCATTTTTGAGCTCTTGCGCATAAACAAATTATGGGAATTTAATCGGACTTGCCTTATTTTACAGATTTATTTAATACCTACCTTTTTTTGTATAAACCATTTTTCTCTATGAATAACAGTTTTTTTACGCGAGTCAAGAAACCACTTTTCCATAACTTTGACCATTGTTTAACAAAGTTTCCCAACTAGTCTCGAGTTAATTTTTTGATATTTTGTTTATAACACGTTTCTGAACAATATTCCGCAAAAAACTTCTAATAGTATTTTTTCCCGAAAAAAGCTATAATGACTGGCCTACAAGTCCAGAAAACGTTTTATAAAGACAGTTGTGGAGACAATATTAAATCCAGAGTAAAAAAGAACTGAACGCAGAACCAAAAATTCAGGTTTAAGACAATTTTTCTCAAAACTATTAATTCCGATTGAAGCTATGAAGCTAGTCTTATTATTGGTAGGATGAATATCGAGAATTACGCTCTTCTTTCCGAGGGTATAGACAAAAAGTTTTTGTTCTTAGAGTATTATATCTTATGTAGTCGCTACCTAGGTCTCCTCCCGATGGGATACCGTTGTACTGCCAATAGTTGAAAGGTTCAAGCAAGAACCCACCTTTGCATCCGCTACCGCAAGCGATGCATCAAGATATCAGTTCTTCCGGAGCGAAGGTAAATTTCTTGGCTCCGGCAGAGGAGATGCACAGTCTGTCACTCATTACTCCGACTGCGGCAAAGCCTGGAATAAAAAAATATCGGCTATAGTATGAAGATGAATTTAAATGGAATTAAAAATCTTGTTGGTTTAAGATAGGATTAAAGTTTTTCCATATTAAAGATCTTTTAATATAACATTCACTGAAAGAAAAATCTACTTCTTAAAAATCTCTGGCATTAGGATTAAAAAATCTTACCCAATAACCTCCGCAAGCCCTTTGGTTCCTGATGGTTTTAATTTATTCGCAGAAAGATCAAATTTGACGGGTGCATTTAACCAAAATGCATCGTATCAAAATTTTAATGTTATGGAGATGAAGTTGAACACAGGCTGAAGTCATTCGTTTGTTTGCTGAAGTTCATCCAGAAATGCCTCCAATTAATCGAAGTACGATTAAGCCGGCACCACACGATGTGTCAAACGTGATCCAACGTTGGACACATTAACATTTGTCGCATCGTGTAGTCATATGACTTGAAATTTCATGTGTCCAACGTTGGATGCTCGGAACGTTCGGGCCAGCGTCGGAATTTATGACCCGCGTCAAAGCATGCTTACAATGTTGGAAGCAACATTGGATGTACGGCTATACGAGCGGTTGAGCGTTTGACATGCTTGCCGTCACGTGATTGATGTTTGTTTTCTTGTTGCAGCAGGTCTATATATTTTATTATAAAATTACAAATAACAAAGTAGAAAATATAATCAATTTATACTTTTTGCAATCGCATAAAAGTTGTTATTCTTGCGTATTTAATGTGTTTCTTATATTTGTTACTAATAAACTAGGTATTAATGAAACAGAGTGCCAAAGTTTTATTTATTTCTCCTAGTTTTTCCACTAATATCTGAATAAATTAAAATAAAAGCACAGAAGGATTGGGATTCGGTTTTTTTTTACATGAAAAATTGAAATCTATTCATAGTTTTGAAGTCACTAGTACATGGCGGCACTTCTTTTAAATATCATTTTTGCTGGTCTCGAATGTTGGCTTCCAACGTTGGGTCCAATATTCACCCCACCGTGTGGCAGAAGCATTTGCCAAATGTGCTCATTTTGATTCCAACGTTAGTTCCAACATTAGATCCAACGTTTGACACATCGTGTGGCGCCGGCTTTAACAAAATCGAAACTCGATATCGGGAGTTGACTTACGTGAGGGATGCTCCTCGACAAAGGCCTTTAAAAATTGAGGAAGAGACCCGGTTGAACATGTTGTTGGAAGTTGAAGAAAATCCTGTTACTCCAGCTAGGCAAATAGCTCGCGTTCATGGTGTCAGTCACACAAGCGTTTTAAAAATTCTAAAAGACGCGAAGCCTGCACTAGCTGAACGAAGATAATCTTAATCGTAGACTCGACTTTTGCGAACAAATGGGCACGTAAATCGCCGCAACTGTCGTTATTGGGTTGATTAAAATCCCCACTGGATGCGTGAATTCTATACTCAAAGGCCTCAAAAAACAAACGTCTGAGCCGGAATTATTGGGGATTGCATAGTAGGTCCTGTATTTTTTAATGAAAATGTAACCGGAAAAACATACCTAACTATGCTCCAAAATGAACTGGTTCCTGCGTTAGCGGTTATTTCCCCAATAATTTGGATCCCCATTTTCTTGAGGAACGGATATGGGACGACCACATTTTGTTAAAAATGTACGGACTTATTGCAATGAAGTGTTTCTGAATGGGTGAATTGGAAGAAGAGGCCCACTAGAATGACCAGCAAGATCACCCGATCTTACCCCCATAAGATTTTTTTATGGGGATATATAAAAAGCGAGGTTTATGCTACTAAACCTAACGATATCGCCGAGCTTCAACAAAGAATCAGAGATGACATTAGACAAGTAACGGCGGTAGTGTTACAAACTGCTTATAAAAAGTAACAAAAAAATACGTAATTGTATTTGCAATTGAAAAGCTTTAAAATAAAAAAAGTAGTCAACCTAACCTTCCACTTCCACTTCCTACCCTTCCATTTGACGTTGACATAATTTTAAGAGCTTAGGTATTTACTTGTTGTCATATTTTATTTTCCAAATATAGTAAAAATGTTCAGACTTTTTAATTTTTGTAATTTTCTCTTACCTTTCAAATTACACCCTATGTCAACACAAATTTCACTGACTGGCTGAAAATTCAACAACAAAGGTTTTATAGGTAAAATCGCATGATATCTCAAAACTTTCGGCGTTGTAATGTAATTAAAAGTGATGTCGAAACAATATTAATTTTGATTTGTAATCAAACAAATAATAGGGACTACGATCATATAATTTAATCAAATATATATTCGAGGTTACAAAACTGTATACCATAGTCTATAGAACGGAAAATCAAGGAATTTAGACGGAATAAGAGAAGAACGGGTAAACTATAGAAGTTAAATACTTACTATTGACGGTTTTATTCTTATTGGAGATACACAATTGATTAACATTAGTATTGAAAGATATATCAAATAATGTTTTATGATTACATTTTATAATAGTCTTTTTTTAAATGTTATGTTGCAGCTAATGTAGTGCGCCCTGTTAATACTAGTTTTATTGTAACAATATTTTATCTTATTGTAACAAAACAATATTTTATTGTAACAAAATTGTGACAACAAAGTAATACTAGTATTTTATTGTACTATTAATTTTATTGTAACAAATATTAAAAAAAGGGCTGAGGTGTGCTAGGAATTAAAATAGTGTCAGTTTGACTCAGAACTGAATAGTAAGAAGTTATCAGTGATAAGTCGGGTAAATCCTGAGAGAGCGTGTAATGAAAGCGCTGGATATTACCAAGTCACCAGTTCCCAGTAACAATCAGTTTCGCTGAGCTAAGTCGTTGATGCACATCAAGGCGAGGGGTCTATTAGCGTGGTTGTTCGTTACTAGTGATACTAGTATTGATTTTTCTACCACACTACCATTTAAAATTTTGTATATATTTGTTTCTAAATGTTAAAGGATCAAAGTACTATAGGACATACTTTTTTGTTGGGATGTATGCTGTGTGCATGATGATATCAATAAAATCTTTTAAGAAACAGGTGCCTCCGCAAAGGCGTGTTTATTTCTTGTTGTCTTCTTTTTGTTCAATATCAAGTATTCGAAATCAAACATTATTTTCGTTTGTATATCTCATGTCTCATTTCTACAGATTTGTTTCAATAAAGGAAAAGCAGACCACTACATAATAGAGACGAGAAAAAGACAGATTTTTTTTTGCACCATACTCTCAATATGTTAGGTATTTTTTAATTAAAACTATGCACTATATTAAAAATTAGCACAACAGGTTGTTGACTAAATTTGAAAAATTCGTACAATTTCTACTAAAATTTTTATTTATTATTGATTTTTCTACCACACTACCATTTAAAATTTTGTATATATTTGTTTCTAAATGTTAAAGGATCAAAGTACTATAGGACATACTTTTTTGTTGGGATGTATGCTGTGTGCATGATGATATCAATAAAATCTTTTAAGAAACAGGTGCCTCCGCAAAGGCGTGTTTATTTCTTGTTGTCTTCTTTTTGTTCAATATCAAGTATTCGAAATCAAACATTATTTTCGTTTGTATATCTCATGTCTCATTTCTACAGATTTGTTTCAATAAAGGAAAAGCAGACCACTACATAATAGAGACGAGAAAAAGACAGATTTTTTTTTGCACCATACTCTCAATATGTTAGGTATTTTTTAATTAAAACTATGCACTATATTAAAAATTAGCACAACAGGTTGTTGACTAAATTTGAAAAATTCGTACAATTTCTACTAAAATTTTTATTTATTATTGATTTTTCTACCACACTACCATTTAAAATTTTGTATATATTTGTTTCTAAATGTTAAAGGATCAAAGTACTATAGGACATACTTTTTTGTTGGGATGTATGCTGTGTGCATGATGATATCAATAAAATCTTTTAACTGGACTATATGGACTGGTTTTTGCCTGGTTGTTAACAGGACGGAATTAGTACACTGCCAAAAGAATTTCTAAATGATCCTACATTCATTCATACATTAGATAAACATGGATGGATGTTAGAACAATAAAGACTTAAAGCAATAAAAAATATATTACATGCTTACATATTATTATTTATTAACGGAATTGAACTATTTACAATTAAATATAAAGACGGTATACAATTTTCTTACGTTTTACTTATTCGCTGGTGTTTGGGTTACCGGCAACTACGTAGCTTTCGATGCCAACGTTGTTGTTACCCCTGATGATTCTGAAAAATCCGCCCTCTCCAAAACCGGTGCCCCAGGAGTTGGCGACTATCCAGTAAGGGACGTTGTTCTCAGAACCCCATCCGACGATCTTTACAGCGTGACCACCCACGGAATTGCCACTGGTGTGTTGGTAGATACCTGAAAATCGGAAATAAATTAATTTTCATTGATGACTTGATAAAGTGCAATCTATTCACTGAAATGGTTAATGTAATTGTTTAGTCTAATCTGATCTTAATCAACTTTCTTATCTCTTGTTTGAGCATCTCTTATAGCGATAAAATAAGTCTGTTTTTTTGTTAAAAATCGATTTATTTCGAGATACACTGAATATCAAAAAGCAAGTCATGTTACTTTCAAAATTATCTTCAATAGATATACGACAGATACGAAATACGTTTGTCATTAAATCGTTTTATAACTAAGATATTTAGTAAAAACTTTTATGAGAACAAAAATTCTGTGACTTTTAGAATCATTTTATATTTTAACGGTTGCAACATACCTGATCCGTAACTGTAAAAGTCTTCAAAGACTTCCATGTAGGCGCTTACGGGGCCGTTGATTACAATCTCGTGCTGGATCTGCTCCACGGTACTGGTGACTTGGAAATGTGCGATACCATGGCGAATGTCATCATTCCAGGATTTGCTGTAACCTGACACGCAGCGCTTGTTGCACTGTGGAGTCTGACCATTGCTTTCGGCGGTGTAGGGTCTGCAACCCTATAAAGAACAAAATATTTGTATATAGGTATACAGGGTGTTTTTGAATGGAGTAGCATAAATGATACCAGTGAATCTACATTTTAAAAGAACACGATCTGCAAAAAATCGCCTTAGTAAAATGTTCACCCCTGAAGAGATATGGGCCATCAGTTTCCAAAAAAATTATGAAAACTGGCTGTAATTTGAAAACCGAACGAGGTACAAATAACAAATTTTTTACAGGTTGTTTACTAATACAGATGCGAGTTTTCAACTATTTTTCGAAAATTTTAACCCCTCGAAAGGGGTTGAAATAACCACCCCTCAAGCCATTTTTTGCCATAACTTTTATATTTCGTAAAAACTCGATATCCAAAAATACGCATTAGAAAACTGGTTCTTTTAGAAACTTTTACCTCTCTAGCAATTTTCCTTTAAAACTTTTCGTTTGTTAATAGAAAAATAAAATGTATTACCATTCACCTTACACCGTATATGATTGCAATCAATCAAAGAAAAACTAAGTGTGCTGCTGTCATGCCAGTTGTCACAATCAACTCTTCTGTAAGTTGTCACTGTTATCAGCTAAATACTTTTTGGGTGTAAATTAGCAAGAATTATGCCAAATTTTACTAATGATGAATATGTGGACATGCTACAAGTGTATTTTGAATGTCGCAAAAACTGTGCTGCGGCAACAAGAGCGTATAATGAGAGATATACAAATCGTCAAGTTCCCCACAGACAAACTTTTTCGGCGGTAGAACGAAGACTTCGGGAAACTGGAAAAATACAGCCGCATATTGAGGGTACCGGCCGAAGACCTACTGTTCGTACTATTTATCTTGAGGCTGCAGTACTTGAAATTTACTGTGGCCGTCCTAATCAACCGATTTCAATTTTTCAAAAACCATTTGAAAGGCTGATGTGAAAAAAATTTCAAGTACCTTGATGCTTAATTTGAGGCTGCGCAACATTTTGAAAATTCGAAAAAAAATTTTCAAATTATTTTTCAAAAAATTATGTTGCGAAAACTATCTAACCGATTTTAATGAAATTTGGTGTGTTGTTTTATTATACTTTAAAGTCGGAGCAACTAAAATATTAAAAAAAAATATCTGAAAAACTTGATTATTTTGCCTTTTTTTCATCAATTTCATCAACATTTTTAACTTACAGTATATTGCGCAAAATTCAATTCTAAAATTTTTTCCGCTTCAATATTCTTCCAAAATACATAGTTTCCAAGATATAAGTAAAAAACTCAGATAACATGGGTATTTTTTTTTAATTTTTGCAATTTTGAAAATGTTCCAGACCTCGCCCAGATCTAGGGATCTACACTTTTATTATGTGAGTTGTACTAACGGTAATCCAGAAAAAATTTGCTTGCCTCCTCACACATCCACCTCAAAACAGATTCGTCCTGGTCTAAGAGAGATTTTGACACTTAGTTTCGCGATACACAATCAAGAACTGTAAAATTTGAAAGATTCTCTTGATGCTTTTCTGGGAATTGGTTGGGCATACTTTCTAATATTATCAGATGTGCGAAAAATAAATTAATTTCTTATATAAGAACGGTTTTAGGGACAATATTAAAACCGTAGGAAATTTTTAGGAATGACGAAATTAAAGGAATGATGGCTGAAGACAGAACCAAAAATATTTGTGTCAGATCTAAAATAAATTTTCTCAATACTATTGAACCCGATCAATGTCAAGGAGTCTTAGTAGGAGAATTAATTTAAAAAACACACTTTTTAAAATTCTTTTCTCTACTTTCTGAGGATATAGACAAAAAAATTATATTTAGAGTATTATATCTTACGTAGTTGCTACCCTGGTCTCCTCCCGATGGGATACCGTTGTACTGCCAATAGTCGAAGGGTTCAAGCAAGAACCCACCACTGCATCCGCTACCGCAATTTGTACAGCAAGATATCAGTTCTTCTGGTGCGAAGGTGAATTTCTTGGCTCCAGCAGAGAAAATGCACAGTCTGTCACTCATGACTTCGACTGCGGCAAAGGCCTAGAATAAAAAAATATCGGTTATAGAATGAAGATGAATTTTCAGGGACTTTCATTAAAAATCTTATTATTGTAAGATAGGATTCAAGTTTTATTTATGTTAAAGCTTTTTTCATTTAGTATAGCTTTCACTGAAAGAAAGAGTAGTATCTATTTCTAAATTTGACAAAATAACTTCTTACAAATCTCTGGCATCAGGTTTAAAAATCTTACCCAACAACCTCCACAAGCCCCTTGATTCCTGACGGTATTAATGGATTCGCAGAAAGACCAAATTTGACGGGAGTCGAAGCTGTCTGGAATACCATCAGCTTGAACGTCGTGAAAAACGATTGGGATGGAGGCATTGGGATTGCGGCTGATCCCGATGGTTCCTGCAAGAGATTTGAGCTGCTCCGGGGTCCAGCCCTCGAAGTTCTTTCTGGCGGTCCAGGTGGTAGCCTTCTCATTGATGGATTTGATGAAGGCTTCCGTTTCAATTTGGTGAGGAAGCGCGCTAGAGTAGGCTGTGGCGAATGCCGCGGCGACTAATGTGATAACAAAAAGTGTCCTCATTTTGCTAAAAGAAAACAGAAAAGAAATTGAAAATCAAAAAATTTTAGACAATATTTAATCTTATTTTTTATCTTGTAACTTAAATAATATTTACAATAACTTTATTAATTCCGTTAGATACAATCGAACATCTTATGTGGTAACATTGGACTTTTGAAGTACCTTTTAATGACCCCTGTTGGTTAGACGTAATATCATTAATATAAGATTTTTTCATCAAAACAGTGTATTAACGTAATACTGATAATGATTAGTACCGATGTATCAACTTTATTTGTTAATACATAGATTGTATGTACCTGTAACAATATAGAAATTTTACTGATATATATGTACAAATGAATTAAGATAATGAAACTTGCGCTAACACAATGAATTTGATGGTTTTAATACTACGCATCGTTAATATCAAGCTTGTAGATAGTTAGCCCAGTGCAACAGTTAGCCCAGTCAACATGGGTAAATAACGAATTCGTTGTATTGTATCAATGGATAATATGATTAATTTATTACAGCTAATTGTATCAATATTCAAGGGTGTTTAGACAATGTTGTTGATTATTATATTTCCTTCGCGAACAAGATATTCCCCTTTTAGATAACCAACACTACCAGCATATTTAGTATGTCAGTAATGTGGTTTAACTTGTTGCAAAAGTAATAGGCAAATAATATGTTGTATCTAAATATCTATTTATTATAATAGGCCAGGAAATGCAGAGTTGGACGCGACTTTTTGTTTCGATTTAGATTTAGATGCTCTAAATATTATGTATAATAACATATTTGTTTCCATAGTCATAAAAATGGGGGGAAGATTGTTTACAGGGTGACTAATTGTATAATTTTTTACGTAAATTCACGTTTTTCGCTTATAACTTTTTTCCGTTTATTTCCACGAGAAAACAATAATATACTTTTTATTCGTCTTCAAAAGGCCTACAAAACTAGCGTAAAAAAATATTGATTAGATCAAAAGTTATAAACAGAAGAAGTTTATTTATGACTTGTGAATTAAACATTTATAAACTGCGTTATTATTACCAGAACGTTTTGGCATCGCATCCTCTCATTCCTTATGACTGTCTAATAACGTTCAACTCTATATTTCCTGGCCTGTATAATACTATAACTGTCGTTATAGTATTATATAGGCCATATGTATCCGTAGTATACATATACACCACAAACAATATTAGAGAACAAATATTATAAATTACATTGGGACCTGTAACGCTGATAAAGCAGTCAATTATAACAAATCGGTCCAGGATAAAATTGAAAATATATCTTACACAACTGATATTCATCCGACCAAACTATAATAAAAAAAAGAAAAATATCCAGAATTGGCTATAGATATTAAGAGAATTTGGAAATAAAAACGAGTACCCGTCATCTGTTTCGTATCACACCAAACTCATAATACAATATAACTTTTTTAAATCAAAAACAAACTTCTGATGAATTTGAATATTGTTGTTATTATTATTTGTATGGGATTTAACTATTTACTTTCTGTCATTTTTTATGTTTAAGAAATAGTGAAAATATTTTGACCATCTTATTTTGGTAATTTTTTCTTACCTTTCAAGTTACACCCTATGTCAATACAAATTTCACTGACTGACTGAAAATTGGACGACAATGTTTTTATAGGTAAAATCGCGTCATATCTCAAAATCTTCTACGTCGTAATGTACTTTAAAGTGTTGTCGAAACGATGTTTATCGCGATTTGCAATCAGACAAATAATAGGGACCGCGATCGTATAATTTTGCCTATTATATTGTTTGCCAGAAAGGGATAACCTTAGAGACTCGGCGCCTGTACCTACACGTGTCCGAAGTAATTTTACCAAAAAAATATATTTTCGAGGTTACAAAAATGTTTACCGTCTACTAAGAGTCTGTCGAACAGAAAATCAAGGAACTTAGGCGAAATAAAAAGAGAAATGTAAACTGTTATAGATATTATACATTATACAGGGTGTCACCTAACGAATATTACATACTTCAAGGTTATAATCTAGAACCCTAATGGTGTCGATTTAACTAAACTTGCTTATACGAAAAATGTCGCAAAGAAAGTTACAGGGTGTTAAAGTTTCTTTTTTATTTCTTGTTTTCTCCTTAACTCAGAACCCAGTTAACCGATTTGAGAAAAATGTTCTATTGCCTAGTTTTTCTTCATGAAGTATGCAGTGACTATGTTCCTATTAGGTTAAATCTTACAGGGCGTTCATTTCACTACAACCATTTGTAAACATTCTTCTATAACTTTTTTGTGTGTTTAAATTTTTGTAGGCAACTATCAGAAATAGGCAGAGAATTTTATTCTACACAAAAAGTGTATATCTATCAAAAGTCGAAATTATGCTTAGTTTTGAGAATATTCCAGAAATTATTTATTAACACATACCCTATATTTTTTGGAAATAACTATACAGGGTGTTTCAGGACTAAGTCGAAAAACTTTAAGGAGATATTCCTCATAACAAAATAAGAAAAATATCAAGTATAAATTTTTTTCCAGAGACGCTTCATTTTTGAAATATAGGGCGTTAAAGATTTTATTAAAAATTCCAATTTTTTAAATAACTTCTAAATGAAGAAGGCTATTTAAGCCAAATTTGGCATGACACATCTTCTTATAAGATACCATTTTTCCATAGAAGTAGAAGTCCCGCAAGCAACCAGTGGGGTTATGGGGACTCAGACTAATTAAATTATAAAAAAAAATTAATACGGCAGTAGGTACTGAAAATAAAAAATGATTCAGTCGTCTCAGACAAACTGTGTCTTTCGGTATTCCAACTTATGCTGATGGACATTTTGCCCCACTTCAGGATGAAGTAAGATCGAATACTATTTTAAACCATTTCGATGAAAATCCATCCACGAGTGTCAGAAGATCTAGCTATGACCTAGGTATTTCGTCAAGTTCCATTTGGAGGACTCTTGGGGCTGATGGACGCCATGCTACCATATCCAGCGTGTGCAACATTTATTGCCTCAGGACAGACGATGCAGGCGCGTGTTTTGTGACTGGATGTTAAACCAAGCAGAGAAGGATGATCAGTTTACGCAAAAAGTAATGTGGACAGATGAGGCCACATTTACTCGAAGGGTAATTTTAAACCAAAGGAACAACCATATTTGGTCCTATGAGAATCTACGGGCGGTAAGGGAACATAGTTTTCAGCATGAATTCCAATGTAACGCATGGTTGGGTGTGTTAGACAATACTATAGTTGGTCCCTGCTTCTTTCCGCATCGGTTAAATGCTGACATGTTTACCGAGTTCCTTGAAAATGGTTTTCAAGATCTGTTAGAAGATGTTCCGCTTAATACTCGAATGAACAGTTGGTTTCAACTAGATGGTTGTCCTGCCAATTTTGGTAGAGGTACTAGGGAGTGGTTAAACATTAATTATCCTAGGAGATGGATTGGTCGTATTGGCCGCACGTTCACCAGACTTGAAACCGATGGATTATTTCGTTTGGGGTGCTGTTATACAAAAAGTCTACGAGGCGCCAGTTTATACCCTAGATCTAGAAGATCTAAGACAGCGAATACTCCAAGCGTGTCGAGTATTAATTCCAAATCAGTGTCGATCGGCCACTACTTCAAAATTAGAAGATGTCGTGTTTGCCTACAGTCCGGAGGCGCCCATTTTGAACAAAATATTTTTTTAAATCATTTAATTTTTTATTACTTTTCGCTTTGTCTAGGAGTAATATTAATTTGTAATTTTTTTGGTTGTTTCAATTTACAAATAAATTTTCATGTATTGTTTACCATCTTATTTTATTTAAAAGTACACAACACAAGTAAATGAAGTGACTACAAACCGCCTGAAAAATTTTAGGAGTATTGCAAGGGCCGTTACGTTGTCGCATTACGACATAGTCACATTAGATGTTAGGTACTTAAATATTTCTGTTTTTTTTCATCATTTTTTTTTTTCTAAAAAAAACACCATATATCTCAAAAACGAAGCATCTAATAATTTTAATACTATTGGTTAAACCCAAGGGAAGGGGAGACAAACGGGTTTATTTGACTCACACATACTCGAGACTAAGACCAATTTTAATAGGTACTATATTTTCTTAGGTTTTATGAGGAACGTCTTCCTAAAGTTTATCGACAGAATCCAGAAGCATCCTTCCGAAAAATCAATTTTGCCATGAAACTATAAGAGATAATTTAATGAGTCTGAGTCCCCATAACTCCGCCACTGGTTGCTTGAGGGACTTCTACTTCTATGGAAAAATGGTATCTTATAAGAAGATGTGTCATGCCAAATTTGGCTTAAATAGCCTTCTTCATTTAGAAGTTATTTAAAAAATTGTAATTTTTTTAAAAAATCTTTAACGCCCTATATTTCGAAAATGAAGCGTCTCTGGAAAAAAATGTATACATGATTTTTTTCTTATTTCTTTATGAGGAATATCTCCTTAAAGTTTGTCGACTTAATCCTGAAACACCCTGTATATCCTTAACAACATGACAATTTCGGTAAGTCACTGTCAAGTTTGTATTTTGCAAACGTTTGTTTCTAAAAATACAAGACAGTTACAGAAGAATATTCATAAAGGGTTGTAGTAAAATGAACGCCCTGTATGATTTAACCTAATAGGAACATAGTCACTGCATATTTTATGAAGAGAAACTAAGCAACAGCAAATTTTGTTCAAATCGGTTAACTGGGTTCTGAGCTAAGGAGTGTTTTGACTGCCTCTTATATTTTCTAAACATACAGTGTGTGTGTTTTTATCTAAAACTATTTAATAAAATTATGTTTTAACCAGTTTTAGCACTTTTGGCACGTTTTCGTGTTCAAAAACAAAGAAACAAATTATCAGCGTTCTGGTGTATTTAATTTTGACTTGAAATATTTTCTTCGACGGTTTTACTATAATAAAATACGTTTCTAACACACAGGAATCTGTGGACAACCTGTATAGATAAATACGCTTTTTAAAACGAATTGTTGCTATGGAAATTATTTTGGATTGTCTTTCATATCAAATATCTTACAATTAGCAATGTCGAATGTGTTCGTCTGGGTTATAGATTTAAACTGATACAAAATATAATCTGATTCTAATAAGATACTAAGATCTGTTGCTAGGGTGTGCTTGTTTTTAGATGACAATGTAATAACATTTTTGATAAAACACATATAATCCAGGAAATCTGCTGCTTATATTTACATTTTTATTTATTTGTAGATTTATTATCACCACCAGTTGCGACGAATTATTTCTAAGGTCCTTGGATTTTTATTTTTTAGAATCTAATGACTATCCCTAAGTATTTATTTAAGTAATTTTATTTTTTTAAGTATTACCTATTAGTAATTTTATTTATTGCAATATGTGACTATATAGGGTGTTTCTAAATAAGTTCGAAATATTTTGCCGAAGTTATTTTGAGAAAAAAAATTCAAATAAACGTAGGTCGAAATATGTTTCGTTTCTGAAATACAGTGTTTTAAGTTTTAATTTTTTATTTATTTTTATTAATTATTTCAGACTTTTATAGATATTGACTCGAAATGTGAAAAACGCTTTGGAGGGATAAATGTGCATTTTTTGGGGTGATCCGAATATTTCCACTTGCACCAGTAGCGTTCGTGCGAGAATGCCACAAACTTTTTTAATAAAAAAAATTTTACGCCACTGACTTTTACAGTTTTGATAGTTTTTTAGAAATCCGCCATCAATTCTGACTGAAATAGGACTCTTCAATTATTTTCGTAAGATCGTTTTTAAGGAAAAAAATAAAACATATTTTATTGTAGGTTTTGTTAATATTTTATTTAGAGTTCTCTTTAAATAAAGCGTTATTATAGTCAAAGTAAAAATGCAATTCAACATTGAAAACAAAAAGTTGATATCAATGTGGGTAAAGTAATAACGTAACATGTTATACCCAAACCGTAAATTCGAATCTAAAAAACCTAACCTCAAAACCAACATTAACTAAGTTTAAACTCACTAAATTAAGGATTAATAAAAAAAAATTAAAAATTTCTTTATTATACAGAGATTCGGTCAACAATTTTTCCGAGAGCACACACCTTGTGCCATACTGTACCCAAATCTGACACCTTAACCCAAGAACTTAACCTCAAAACTGGAAAGATTGTCAAATCAAATCATTAGTGACAAAAAGTGTCACAAAATTATTTTTTTAATAAAAAGTATAAATGTATTTTTGTTGAGTGTTTATCATCGCGATCGCCAAAACGTGACCTAAAGACCCTGAAATCAAGGGTCATAATAATCAATTTTATTAATAGCAGATACTTTTTAAACATTTTTTTCTACAACTGAACATCCAGTATTTAAAAATTTTTTCTTCGACATTGAGGTTGGGGCGCTCCCTAAGCATTAAAAAAAGGGTTTTTCGAAAAAACCTCACCGGAATATGAAAATTCAGAATACCACGAGATTATTAAAAAAAAATCACGACGAGACGATGAAAATTGGCGAGTGTCGAGAATTTTGTCCAATATTTCCTACTGTGCGACGAGGCATATTTCAACCTACGTTTATATGAACTTTTTTTCACAAAATAACTTCGGCAACCACCCCTAAAATATTTCGCACGTATTTACAAACACCCTGTAAAAAACGAAATT